ATAGCAGCAGATATGTTAGCCCAATAGGAGCGACGACACCGATGGTCGCTGCAATAGCAGAGAGGCCAAAGTTCGCTTTGAGTAGATCCAGCCGTACGGCCAGGGCGCCCTCGAAGATGATGAGAACAAGACCGATGTATCCCAGGGCAATGAAGGCTTCCTGCCATGCGATGGGTATCATGTCACCGCCGATAGGCAATCCATAGATCAGACCGACTATGATTTGACCTATAAGGCCAGCACGGAATACTCGGTTCGAGAGCCATTCGCCGAAGGAAAGCCAGAAGAAAAACGAGACGAGAACGAGGATTTGGATGACTGATGAAGATTAGTGACTACATAACCGTGTAAGAAAGTAGAGAGCTTACTATTCGGCTCATGATACTGCAAAAAGCCTTCCGTCGCGGGAGTCGAAGAGTCACCAGCCATACTGAAAACCGTCTCGAATGTGGAAAAAATGCGAAGATCGCTTGCCTATTCCAGGCCCTACACGACGAGCACTGCATCTTTAAACAATCCCACATCCACAGCCAGCTTATCAGCTCCGCGTCAACACATGTTTCGCACCTCGCACTCCGAGGTCTTGGGGATACATGTGGCGGCCAGCCAAGGCTCCCGCGGATGCAGGCCCGACATCTGGGCTGAGGCAAAGACAAGCTCGCACGTGCGAACGAGTCAGTGACGCGTGCCTCGCGCAGCCTGATAGATGCCTGTTACTCAACGGCGTACCTCTTGGTATGTAAGGGATGCGGCTGTACTTGTGATGGGAGGCTGCCTTGGCGTTTCCGCTCCGCGCTTGGCTTGGGTGCTGAAACGGTATCTCCGCTTTAAGGCTAAACGTGAACTGTCGGAGGCGCCTTCTGGGTCTTTGGGATTGAGTCAAGCGAGGTTGCGGCGGACGCGATTTGAGTCAGTCGTGGAGGAAGCGTGAGGGCGGAATCCTGGTCTTCGGAATTGCTGATCTACTATCTGGCATAGTGACACGCTCCGGGCGCCTGTGTAGTAACGATTATTGGCAAACTTCAGTTCCTCATGAAGCTGATTAAGTTATGCATCCTCTGCTGTGGAAGAAGCCCTTGTAGCAACCTTGGTGGCATTGGACTGCGACCATGACCGCTAGATACTACCTAGGTACGAGGCCAATGCAGGTGGATGTGGAAAGTTTTGCCTCGCAAAATGGCGAGAATATCGGAGGTCACAATGCGATAACCGCGGAAGAAAGAGGATGGCGTAGCCTAAGAGAACCGGTGCAGATGCAGTTGCGTGCAGCTCAGCGGAAGGGGCGGAGAACCACGAGACGCGACCTGCAAAAGTACGCTAGTCTACATTCAACGGAACCCCAACATGCCGTCTTTAGACCGTCACACTAACTTCCCACAATGAAGTAGTCTCTCCACCATGCTGAGATTTAGTTAACGCGCATGTATTCGCTTTAAATTTCCCTCTCTTATTTCCTAAATATCGCGCTTCTAGAGTATAAAATTAAATGCTAGCAAGCTCTTTAAGGAGGAGCGCCTTCTATAGTATAGCTATAATTAGTTTTATCTAGCACAACCTAGTAAAATTCTTAATTCTAGCTTTAAGATTATAGGAAAACTTAGTTATAGTATATACTCTATAGTCTAGCTGTGTTAGGATATTTAGAATATTTAGTATATTTAGCGTTCTTTTTTATTAGTAAACTAATTCTACAGCGCAAACTAGTCTAAAAAGAGTAAGGTCTATTACTAGTACATAAAAAGACGTATTTCTAAAAAGGTTAAAATCCTACGTTTAGAGGTGCAGGCGTTAGGTAGGCTAAGGCTTAGGTTCTTAGCGCTGCTGCCTTTAGCGTAGTTAAAGCTTTTAAAATTTAAAGTAGTAAGGCAACTATCCTATAAATACTAACGTCTACCTATACTATAGTAGAGAGGATTACAATATAATTATATATTCTTAATAGCTTATAACTAACTAAGCTATAAATTATAAAGTAATAAAATGCTAAAATCTTAGCTTATAAAATTATGCTTTTGTATATATACTCTCTATTCTCTACCTCTATTCTTATTCTATAGCTTATAGTAAAATTAAAGATTTAAAGACTTATTAAAGACGTAAACAGTAGCTTAAATCTAATACTAAAAGCTACACTAACTAAATAAGCTCTTAACTACGTTGCTGCTCTTTTATAAGTTCTTCTAGCGTTAGTAAGTCTAAAGCTAATCTTATTACTAGTTATATTGCCTCTCTCTACACTTATATTAATTATATTTTTATACTGTGTTACTTATTAAAGCTTCTATAGACTACCCTAAGACTACTACTAAAAAGAAAGCCTTTAGTTAAGCTGTTCTAGTAATTATTATACAGACTATTATTAAGGCTATTATAGAGGCTATTATTAGAGCTCTTAAGGCCTGCCTTACTTATCTTATATTGCGTTTTAAGACTGCTAAAACTATTGCTACTATTAATACTATTAATACTATTAAGATTGTTATACTACTACTATAAAGGCTTCTAATACGTAGACTAAGACCTTTTATAGTTCTCTATTATAGCTAAGCCTTTAAGCAACTTACTAGTAATATATAGAAGTTCTTTTGCAGGCTGTGCCTACTCTAAAGAGAGTAATAGAATAGTTATTATATTGCTAGCGTTACTTTTCCTACCTAGAGTAATTTATTAATTATCTACGCTATTTATACTTATAACTTTATATATAAGCTTAGGCTATAGATAGCTTTACCTATAGAGATAAAGGTAGCTATTATATACTAGCGTAAGGCGTTTGTTAGAATTCTTAGCTAGAGTAGTAATAAATAGACTAAAGAGGATAAGGCGTTTAAGGCCTACCTTTAGTGTAATAATACTATTAAATAGATAGTAGCTGTGTTAGCGTTCTACTATTATAGTTGCTCTTAAGAACTAAGCTGTAACCTTCTAGAGTAGTTATCTTTGTTAGCTTAAGTTATGTTATGTTAATAGCTAAAGATTAAATGCGGCAAGGCGTTAAAAAGTTTCTCTTCTTAGCGAGGCCTTAAAAGCAATGTATTATTAGTTAGAAGCCTTAGTGCTAATAGTAATATACACTAAATGTATTAAAATCTTAAAATCTTCTAGCGGTTCTAGGACAACTTTAAAAGCTAGGCGTCTTTTAATATCTTTTTACTAAATAGAGTCTGCAAAATTAGGCACAAGGCACTAATTTAGCGTTCTTTACCTCTATCTACTCTTTAAATTCTAATTATCTATGCATAAAGAATAAGACGCTAGCTTTAACGCTAACTTTGTTACTATTAAGATTTGTACCTAAGATGCTAAAAAGACTCTATAGCTTAATTAAGAGCTAAACTTTTATAAGCATATTAGTTTTATAGATTTATAGTATTGTAGCTAAGTATATATCTATAAACTATATAGTAAATTTAAGCTTAATAGTCTAACTAGCAAATATTTGTACTTTATTTATCTACTTATATATATAACTATATAATAGCTCTAGTATTATAACTTAGTATATAAGCTTAATGTTTTACTTCTAAAGTTTACGCTAGCTAATATACTAAAGGTACTATTATTCTTACACAATAAGGCTAAAGTTATATATATAGGTATAGTAAAACACTACAATATAATTAAATTAACTAATAAGCTAGACATTAATTTTAAGAATATTATACTAACTATAGCTAATAATACTATTCTAGAAAACTTTAAGAAAGCTAAAGTAGAAAACTTATTACTATCTAAAGTAATTAATAATATACGCACTATTTATAGTTCTTATAAGATTTCTTATTCTATAAGTAGTCTTTATAGCTAACTAGTTCTCTATAACTTTAGAGAAGCGTAGATAGAAGATTTCTACTTTAGCTTAATTTAGTCTTAGCTATACTATGCACTAGAAATAATTTTCTAGATAGAGTAGAGCTCTAAGGTAGATATTTAGAGTCTTACTATATTAGTAAGTATTTAACACTATTATAAGGAAGCTGCAATAACTTACCTTTAATTAGGTGTAGAACTTATTTAAAGATAAGTATCTATTTAACGCCTGTAACACTAAGAGTAACTTATTAAGAATATATTATATTTTTAAAATAGTTGTATACTTTAGAATGCCTCTACTTAAGTATACGCAAAGTAATAATATAATAAAAATTCTCTTTAATAAGCAAAGTTAGTTATTAAGATTATTCTAATATAGACTCTACTAAGCTTAATAGAATACTAGACAGGTAGCTCTAAGAGTATAACTATTTTTAAGATCTTACTTAAGGAAAGAGTTTTAGGGCTTAAAAGAGAGGAGAAGGAATTATTTCTTAATTTTATACGCTTAATACTTAGATAGCAGCCTAAAGACAGAAAATTAGCGACTAAACTCCTAAAGCACCCGTGGATGGCCGACATAAAGTAGTTCGACGACGATCAAGCAACCATTGCAAAGTCGTTCTCGCGGAGTCTTTGTACTGGCGTCGCAAGCGTGCAGATTATCGGAAGGGGGCGAAGGGGGAAACGCGACGATGGGTGGGTCTACGCGTCCTAGAAAATGAGCTAGTCTACGGCGGCACGCGTCGTGGGGCTTCCCTCCCCTAACGTCACTGCAACTCACCAGCGCACCCGTGTACATCAACACGGGGATCTTGTTCACATCGCACCGACGCGACAATCTATTCCACGCTATGATTACCGCGTTAACACCGCACGCATGTGCATGTAAGCGCCGGCCCTCGGTCTTCGCACGCTGCATTGCTGTGCCGCAATCTCATCCCGAGCCACCTGGGCACAGTAAAAAGCCCAACGACCCAAACAAGGCCTCTTGAGCTCCTACAATCTGCGACCAGATCCTTCGCGACTGCGCAGCATTCTCGACCCATTTTGAGGTGCATTGCGATACCTCTATCTTCGTCGCCGCGTAGACCGCCATGCGCGCCTTCCTGCTCCGAAAATGGCAGCGGAAAAAGCCCGAACCGACGACGACAATCAGTATCAAACGAAGCCAAGACGCCAAATCGATGCCGCGACCTGAATTACCGAGAGGTGAACCTCTCGATCAGAAGCAGTGTATGCTGTTCGGCAAGCTCTCGCCTGAAGTGCGATTGCTCATCTACGAAGAGGTTCTGGCCGACCCGCAGCGTCTGCTGCACTTTTTGCACGTTACCCCTGGGAAGGGCCGGCCCCATAAGCTCGGACACTGGCGCTGCGAAGATATGGACAGTATGTATCTCACATGGCAACATATGTGCTTTGGGGTCTGGAATGAACGAAGCGGGCGCATGCACCGTCCCGCATACTATACCAATGGCGATCTCTTCTCGATCCTCGTTACATGCCGCTTAATGTATAGTACTCATTGCGCCCTTTCCACAAAGGCTAATCAAAGCAACAGGTATCGTGAAGCTGTGAATGTCTTGTATACGGCGAACCAGTTTAGTTTCAGAGGCGCCACAGGAGTGCTTAGTTTTCGCAGGCTCGTAGCCCCAGATATGTGGCAAAGGCTACGCTCGGTAAACCTTTCAACGACTATATTGACACCGAGGAGGAATTTCATCACATCCAGAGGCAGCTTTCCGCGAGAAAGCTACCTTGATTGGGAAGATGCTTGCTGTGCGTTAGCCACACTCGGTGAGCTCCGCCTACTCAGGATCGAGATGACCATATGGGCCCTGTTTGCGTTCCATGATATCAACGCGGGTACGCCCGAACCTGAGTCACTCATCTCCATCTTCGAAGCCCTGAAGCAGGTGCATGCAGAAGTCTACGAAGTCGAACTCAACGTCGATTTGCCTGAGCAGGTACTGGATGCGCTTGGAAACATACCATTCAGAATTTTGCGGCTCAAAAAGCAGTACGACAGGAAGACCTTTTCTCTATAATACAAGGAGTACTACCAATACAACACCAGCAGCGCTTCCACAGTGAGCGACTCGAGAACACCTCTTACCAGACTTACGATCAATGCAGGATTGCATCGCACTCATGCACTTCACTCACGACGGTACCTCCTGCATCGGTACTATCCGTCCTTTGGCATCGATCTTCTTTTGGTCCTTGAGCAGTGAACACCCTATTACGTATCAGCGAATACCCAGGGCACGCTTCACATAACTTACCGCTCGCGAAAAGAGCTATAGTGTCAGCGTTGTTGTCTGGTGCGGCGTATTCACCAAGGTCATCGCCTTGCCGCGCGAGCGCCGTTGCTCCCTTCCATCCATACGCTGGCCCCTTGAAGATACCGAGCAAGCGTTCGGGAGATGTAACATCTCTGAGGCCCTCAGCTTCTATTTCGCCATCTTTGTATTCGATGTAGGCTCCCCGGGCGTGCGTCATCTCGTGTAAGAGAACCTTGTCCAGAAGTGAAAATGCATCTAATGATGTCTCGTCAGTTTTTGCCTTTGGTCGAATCTTTGTACAACTCACCAATCTGTCTGAGACCGAATTGTCTCCATTCGGCCGCCTTGATCACCGCCCTCCCGATCTTCGTTCTCTTTTGAACGTCACCAGAAAGCTTGAACTTCTTCTGCTTGATCCAATCGACGAACCAAGTACATAGCTGAATCTGCGCAGGTTGCATACCCGTACCGGCGATGGGCTTTCCGTTCTTCCAGACAACGTCTGTTTCCGGGTTGAAGGTGACTGCCAGGGCAATCTTGTCGAGGACCGTATTACCTCTACATGCTTGCTCACGGAACTTGAGTCGCACTCCATTTGCTGTATAGAATCAGTATACGGTTGCGTGGTAGCTCCGTATCACATACTAGAATCTTGATAAAGGTCCTTCTCTCCTTCCACTGGTTTCCAGCGATCATAATGGCAAAAGATGACCTGGATCAATGATCAGTCTCTTGTGGACCCTTTAAAGCGACTCTAGTTGCTCTTACCACATCTTCACGAAGTACCTCGGCGGTACCAGTCACTTCCTTCCACATGTTTGCATTGATGTTTTGCAAAACCCCTATGGTCTTGCCGAACTTGCCCTTGTCCATGAGTTCGGCCGGACTCACACCATCTTTCGCGAACAGGAAACCCAGAAGTTCGAGTGCATCGTCGCTTAGTGGAGATGTCAGGGTATCGTATGCTCCGGCAGCCTTCTCGATAGCAGAAGTCATAGCATCACGAATGTCTTGCGTAATGCCCTTGTCTTCGCACGATTGGTCAATCTTGTAGCCAGCGACGAAGGCTAGTATGAGAGCATGGAATAAAAACCAAGACAGTAGTAACGACGGCATCGTGAACGCGAATGAAAATTGCTGCGGAAGTGGCCATCAAGTTTGCGCGCAACCCTCTTACATATACGCAACTTTTTGTGACGCTCTCGGATCAGACAAGCGCCATCATTGGGTCGCCCCATAATTCACCCCTTCTATTGCCAACCATCTTGTGGTGGGAAGCATGTCAGACTGGCCCCACGCGTTCTGCGCCGCGCAGTTCGGGGTTCAAGCATGCATTTTGCTAATCTAGACGCGCTCCGTACGGCACAGTTCGCTACCTCGCCTCTCGAGAACAACAAACTATTTCTGCTGGGCAAATGGCGAGCAGATCCCCATATCCGCCCCAAAAATTGCTCGTTATTGCAACGGGATCAAAAGCTCCATCGCCCCAACCGCTTTCATACTGCACTTCGCCACGCTGGGCACATTGGAGAATCCTCTCGGGTATCAACTCACGTTTCAAGTTGACATCGCCAATTCAGGATATGCCCATGAACGCTCGAAATTCTCCGTTGGGGTCTATTTGGGACGCTTCACAGCCTCGATCATGCACCAAGAGCTGTGCCATTGTGGAAATGCACGTAGCCGATGCCTTCATCCACCGTGCCTCTACAGGCCTCAACGTGTAATTGGGGGCGACGGGAATGGCATGATGTGTCCCTAGACTTCGCGTCGCGGTCTTCTCGAAGCCAAACTATCTGCATATAAGCTTGAAGCACTGCTCCAAATGCTTCATCAACGAACTACTTCTGCACTATTGCCATGTCTCGTCTTAGCTTGCTAGCATTGGCACTTTGCTTGACGGCTGCTTCAGCTCGGGTGTTGGTAACACCTACTGGAGCAGCTTCCCTGACGACAAAATCGCCTTCGCGTCGTGACGAAGCCGTTGCTATACCGACGTTCACATTCGGTCCTAAGGACGTATACTTCCCAGCTGCGGTACATCATGGCCTCCCCTTCCTTCTTACCACGCTAACACCGCATCGTAGGCCACTCACCCAGAGCCCCGCGGGACGGAGATTCAGGTATATCCTACCGGGGTTTACGAGGCATGGCCATCCGATGGTATCACTATCGCATTCGGTCCTGAGCTACGCGGACAGGTTGAGACCGTGCGGGCGCAAAGCTGCAACAATAAACCAGTTGAAGAGTGTCAAAACGCTTTGAACGCGGTGCTGCAGAGTACTGATGTCTCTACTCATATCAAACGTTTCGATCCGGGTACCTTACTTCTTGTCGCATGGGGCGTAGGTGCTTTGATTGGCTTTGCCATCGCTATTTACAAGCATATCTAGGAAAAGAGATGAGGTTTCGTCCAGAGGACCTCCGTCAAATCCATTCGATAGCCGCTGCACAGGAAATCGCCATTGTGACAGCCTCGGATGGGGGCGCTGCATTGGCCACCTTGACGTACCAACCACCTGCGACGACTACCCTTACGTTAGTTACATGTGCTGGACCACATTTCGTATCGTACTAATATCGATTTCAGGAGCTTCATCAGCATTGAAACACTTACTACTGCCAGTGGCGGTCACGAAGCAGGAGATTTCGTTTACCATATTCCGAAAACCACAGCTGAGCGCATTGAAGACTTCCTGGGCATGACAGGTCTTCAAGAAACACAGCAGATCTGTCAGGGCCAAAGCTTCAAGCGTGCTGACCCTACTGAGGAATGTATTGAACGCATCCTGCACCATGCCATGAGTCTTGTTGATACCGGCCCAGACGACCTCATGGCATTGGCGCAGGCAAACGTTCCGATTGAGCCGGCCGCCGGCCAGGCCATCAGCTTTCCGATCCCCAACATCTATATCGGTGAATCCGTGGCCTTCGTTCGAATGTATCGACAAATGAATAGTGCTACAGCGACAACCCCTCAGGCAGATCAGAATTGGGATCCCTCGCTTCTTGCTAGGAGTGCACTTGGTCTTACCATCGCCGCGCATGCAGTCATGTTCACTGGCCAAGCCTTAATGGAGCTATTCGTTGGCAAAGACGACGTCATCAAGGACTTCAAAGAAGAAGACTTGGCGTGTCCCAAGGACCTCATCTGTACATCCGTCAACTGCCAGGGCCAGAAGGAGGTGATAAACCCTCTAACCGGAGAAACGATCTCTAAACCCCCTTCGACGCCAACATGTCTCACGGTAAGCTAGAGCTGTAGAAAATATGTAGCCCCGAGACTAACACGTTGGTAAATAGGTAAAGAACCTCGGATGCAGATGCGGAATCGTCAACTATCCCTACGTCTGGGAGGTACCACAAGGATACATGGATGCGCAATATGAATGGCTCGAAGAGCTCATCAAGCGAGCCGACGAGCCTGTGCTTGAAGCTGAATGCAAGAGCGATTTGCAAAGGTTTGATGAAGGAACGTTAGGCCCCCCGAATCCGGGTTCTTCACAAACCTTTAACCCCAGATCCAGTTTTGAAGGGTAAGCCATCTCCCAAACTCTAGCTCAGTACAAACTGCTAAGTTTAACGCAGCTGGATTGAAACCGCATGCACCGAGTATGATAACCAGCTCGACAAAGAATGGCATTGGACATACTCCGATATAACCGGATTTGACTTCAGCTTCCGATGGAGCCAGATACCGGACGGGGTTACCAACTGCCCATTCGACTGCAATGCCGCATTCGCGCCCTTCCTAGACTCTTCTGACTGTAAGTCTGCAAAACCGAACTGAGCGTCGGCTCTCGCTGATATAATGGGCAGGTGTGAAAGACGAAGGCTTCTCGAGTTCTGGTAAGATCTTGACCGAGTGCGGAAGGGCTTCGTTGTATACACGCACTAAGGCATGCACCCCTGAGCATCCAGAGTGCTGCCCGAGCGACAACGGCTTCATATCATCTGACTGTGGAGAGGTCGATGAGTGAAGCCTGCGAGCTTGCAAGGCGAGTGCCTGCTAGGTTAAATCTTGGAGAGGGTAAATTTGGTGTCAGAGTGGATTTTTTGTATGTAATTCGGAGTGGGTCCTTGATATTTATGCGCTTTCTGGAACGAATGGAGCTGGTCTTTTTGCAAACCTCCCGAGGTTTTTGTTGACCAGTGACGTCATCTTACGCGCTAGAACACGGTCATGACGCCACACGCGTTCATGCGAGATATCCATTCCCAGCTTTGACACAATCATTGCCCTAATTCTTTCTCTTATTGCATTTCGAGCGAAGCTAGGGCTAAGGTTATTAATTAAATCTATCTGCAAGCGTCTAATAGCCCCCTCTTACCCCTAACTTACTTATAAGCCTCCTTATAGAATCCTATTTACTAAATAAATGTAATTATTCTTCTATTCTGCTCTTGCGCTTATAACGCCTTTTAAGTATTTTATATTATAGATAATAGTACTAGTAAATTACTTATAACTAAGTCTATATAGATAAGTTATATAAAATAATTAAAAGTAGAGTTAGCAGCGTAGAGGCGTCTTATTTAGATTCTATTAAATTACTTAAAATTAAGTTTTTAGCTTATATAGTAGTACTAGTAAATAGTGTTATTATAGTAGGTGTATAGAGGCTTAGCCTTAGCTTATATAATTTACGCTATTGCGTAGTAAGTATAGAGTAGGTTTTACTTAAGTTAGTCTAGGTCTATATAGAAGAGCTAATTTTAACGTACTATAGCTACTATATTTATAGTAGTTTATATAAGTAAGAATTTATAAGTAAAAAATTTAGCTACTTATACTCTATTTTAGCTAAGTAGTAGTAGTAATATAACTAATAGTTGCCTTAAGTAGTGTACTAGTTTTTAGTAAAGAGAGCTAACGATAACCTTGGCGACACTTTTGTGAGCGTGCAACAACGACGACGCGCCGAAAGCGATCTGTCGCCGTGGACGTAATTCCGTCGACAGCAAGATCGGCTTTCGATATGGACATAATAAACGATGACAGTCTTGTGCGCTGCGTACATCAATGTACCAATTCCATTTCAACGGGATGAGATCGATTGGTGGCATGGCTGCTTGCACCCCTCAACGTTCCATGGGTAGAGCTGTGGATCGCGAGCGCCGCGCAATCTTGCCCTCGCTCTTCGGCAAGGGTCGAGATTTCTCTTGGCTGCACTCAGAGTAAGTTATCGTAAGTGTGGCTACTATGCTGGAAATACTTCCATATAGAATACTGCAAACATACCCCTTCGAACGCATATTGCAAAGCTATGGCGGCTCGAGATCCACCAGAATCGCTGCAGCCCCATGCGCGGCATCATCTCACATCGCTACCCTATCGGCTACTGGAGAAGTTACGCAGGTGCACGCCACGAACGATACCTAAGGCATCAATGTACACACTTAGCTGGCTTCGCAGCCAAAGGACACAGCCGCGCAACAGCCATGTATCCGCACGGGATCGCCACGATGAAGACATCTCTCGAAAGAGTCAATTGAAAGATTGTTCCAACCTAATTTTGATGCTACCGAGGGAACTACGCGATCAGATCTATGAGTACGCTTGGCAAGGAACGCATATCTACTACCAGGACGACTTTTGCCTCGCTGGCGCTGTCAACGCACGGTATCTAGACTGCGATGAACTTTGTGAACAGATCCAGACCCTTCCAGCATGGGTGACCATTCATCCTCAGATTCAAGAGGAGGCGCTTCACTTCTTCTATCAAGCGGCAGAGTTCAGTGTTGGTGACGGCAATGAATACACGACCCCGTTTCACGGATCGACATCGCACATGTCCAGCATCTTGTCGATCGAGAAGGCGCGCAATATTACTATGTTCGGCATTACCGGGTTTTATGAACCGAATAGAGATACGACGTCTACGGACTCTTTCGCAGGCTCCTTGGATAACGTAGGAGACCCTCCGGACTCATTGACAGACTTTGTGGGTCTATTCACAGACTCAGTGAACATCACGCTGAACGACACTCAACGGAAACTCATTCGCCATGTCACAGATAATGACGCGGTTCACCTTCTACGTCTTTCAGCGCGACTTCATCTGCGCTCTGGTGCAATGACTCTCATCGAGGAACAAGCTCATCTCCAGGCGTTATTAGACTTGCAGGAAGCGTCGTATAGCATCAGCCATGTACAGATGCATTTCCAGTTGTCATGGCAACCTAGCCAATCCAGTTTACTTGGAAACTTCCGAGACGCGAACTATCATTTCGTAGTTAGCTGTTGGATCTTGGCAAAATCCATACTTGTCCCGCCTTCAACATATTTCACGCCTGCCTGCTCCGAAGACAAGGAGTCTGAACCGAACGCTGCGGGGCGGAAATCAGCTTTTAAAGATACTATGGATTTGCCGCATTGGAAAGACAACAATGCCAACCTTGAGCAGCAGTCGGAGGGGATCATGACGACGGCTATGGAATATCGCCGTAGCGGTGTCGGGCTAAAAGATGGTGCTTTATCGGCGCTCGTTCCTGTCTCCTCCAATTAGGCATCGCTGCTAGGAAACGAGAGCCTTAAGGACCCGGAGGAGCAGCACCGGTTGGGTCACAACACTATGACTGTTCCTTTATCGACCTCGATACATCGCGAGTGGAGGCTGATTCCTATACTGGCTCGCCGTTGGCCTACCCTGTACTTACACTCTAGTGGTCTATATTCAACTGCACAACTACGCCCTGTGCTAGACACATCACAAGCTTCAGACACCCCGTTTTTCCCACCAAGCCACTGTAACGATCTTGTCTTGTCACCTTCGAATCGAGCGTCACACTCACACTACATTGGAATTGCCCCTTTACGTTTACATGAACGCGCCGTATCAGAGAAATCGAGAGAATTTTACTCTATTCAGAAACCTCTTATTATACATATCGGCTCGCCTGCCAGCTTCTGACACCTCTATCAATCATGTTCGAGCATTTCGTACCCAGACACGTCCCGCCTCTCCTTCTCGCCAGCATCTGGACAGTCGGCGGGCTGATGTCTTTTATTCATGGGTCCGAACAAGCTATCCTGGCATACGGTCTCTCCAAAAGCATCGCGTCTTCGAAGGCAGCGTGGCCTCTGATCAAGATCGAAGGTTCGCGCGTTACCACTATTGGTATGGCGATCTGGGGAATTTATCTTGGGGGCCATTTGGAAGCGATGGACACACTACTTGCTTGCATTGGATGGATGGCAATCATTGATGGTGTGGTGTGTGCGGAACATGGGTCTCTAGGGTCTGCTAGGATGCGTACGACATATCAGGGCGTGGTTGCGCTTTGGGGCTTGCTGGGTATGACTTCGGGAAAGTACTTCTAGGTTGAGCTTCGGCATCAGGTGTTGCGCGTGCGACGTATTGGGTTGTTGATCAAAAGACGCGCTGCTGGCTCATCTCCAATATGCGTCGAGAATTCTTGAGCCTCTTGATAGATCTCCTCAACCAAACCTTGCCGTCTAACTTTTTCCCAAAGTACGAACAAAGTACCTCGTCCCTAAGTTCGCGATCCGACGCCGATACCCAGCCATAATGAGTATCGATCTCTTGATACCGTCTCTCCATATCAGCGACTATTTCCCACACTCGCTTAACTGAATCGTGTTCATCTGTTGTACCAGGCGTAGCTTCCACAAAGGGGTGGCATAGCGAATCGACTTCCTCGAGACAGCCAGATATCATTGCCTTCAACTTGCTGATCTTTTCGACTAGATCTTCGAACTCCGAAGAGGACTCCTCCCGCGATTTGTAAGTTTGGTTTTCTGAGCTCATAGTTGTTTCACGGTGCAGATGCGTATGGTCAGCCCTGCAGTGGAGGATAGAGTACTAGGTGTTCAATCCAGCTATCGAGGTATGCATGCTCAGTCTTCTTGGTTAAGCATGTGAAATTAGAACAGTGTGACTAGATGCACTTCACATGTATCTCGGCGCTACGTCGCTATTTCGGTTACTCGCCTTGTCTGCTGGCATCATGGAATATCAAAAGACTAGTTACATGTACATTCTTTGATTCTTGAACACCAGCTGCTGAATGATTCGAGTCAAATCAATCACCAGAAGTTCAACTTTAGTCTTCATCTTCACAGCCAACAGCCTTTCGCATTCTTTGAAACATCTTTTCCAGACCACTCACAACCACCATAGCGCACTCTTTCCTTTTCCAAGCCTCTAGCAGCTCATTTTGATGGCGCCACTTCACTTTCTCGTTCTCGTCGCACTTCAAGCCGTACCGTAGTGTCTCTATATTTTGCTCCAAGATCCAGCCTGAAACGGACTCTTGGAACCGCTTGATTTCGTAGTGGATCAAATTGAACAATCTGAGTATGTCCTCATGCTTCTTCTTGCGAAGCTTCTCGTTACGTTCACTCGTTTTCCCTTTGCCGATCTCGCAGATAGCCCAGAATGGGCCCGTGTCGGTGCGCGTCAGCTCTCTCATATAATAACCAATACACGCGTCCGTGAACTTTTTTTCCAGAGCTATAGTAACAGCAGTAATCTCTGTTTTCCGAACTGTTCTCCTGTTAGTAGTGTATTGACATTGTACTTTGATGGCGAACTTGCAGCTAGGGTACAGTTCGCCTGCTGGAATCAGCGGTAATTCAGAGACCTCCATCATCTTTTTCTCAATCTGCTCGAGTTCAGTGGTCAATTCCTCCTTGTAGTCTTCATGTTCAATGAGAACTTCCTTGATTTGGGCGAGCGTGGTGGACGCGTCATAGTAATGATAATGTTTTGCCATATTGATGAAGGGCTCCGAGTAATTTATACTACGTGAAGGAGTTTAACATTTTCCTTCACAAGTTTTATATGAGGCTATGACTGTATCGTGCTGTCCTGTGCGCAAACAGTCACGCCCAAGCTGTGACCCAGAAGACGTGACGAGCCGGCATTGAGTCAAAGCGCATCACGGCCAACTTCAGAATGACCCGACAAAGAACAGAAGCATGGACACCGTCCCTTACAGAATCCTCGCGTACACCGCCTTCAACAAAAGCAAACACGTCGCTGTTGTTGTTGTGAAGTCTTATCTACTGTTGAGGCGCCGTCATCCCGCGACGATGCATGCCTCTACAAAACCACGGCTTGCGCGTCCACCCGAAATAGGGCATCAAAGTCATCTCCGCCGTCATGCCAACACCACACCCAACACCCCGGGTAACACTTCTCTCTACCACCTTCTGGGAAATCCTTCCCTCACACTACGACAAGATCATAAATCGCTGGTCGAAAATCGCACACCTACATCACGAAGCGAAGTCTGATATCCTCGCCACCGACCGCGCGGGTGCCGTGGCCTCTATCAAAGCCGAACTGGAAATGCTGGAGCAGGATGTGGAGCAGTATCGGAAGCTCGTGGACAGCATCGATATTACGGATATCGCAGGCACTTATGTGGTCGGTGGGAGGTTACCGCATCGCGCATTGGAAATCGCCAAGGAGGACAAGAAAGATTTAGAAGAGAGTTTGGAGATGATTGAGGAGAAGGTCAAAGAGGTCAGGGCTGATGTGAGGTACGGGTTCGAAGAGGGAGAGTTCGACTGGTCGATGTGTCCCTAGAGGCTGCATTCCACTCCAGGTGTCGAGGTTTGAGGTTTGAGCTGCAAACCAAGTTCGAGACAATGTGAAACTGACAGTATGGAATGTCAGTAGGCTAGCCGTTGGGTAATAAACAGAGTACGACTAGATGTGATTGTCATCCTACAATGATACTCCGCGACTCACATATGCGAATGTGTGATAATCCACCCATGGAGTCAAAATCAGCTTCTTCCGTCACGCTACGCTCTACAAAAGCAGGTCAGCAAAAAGAAATATGCGAAATATGTTCAAAACCGCAGCGGCAACAGTCAACACAATGAGCGACGCCCATAACCCTCAAGACCGCCAGCCGAGAGATCTGACATCCATATTAATGGACCTCGAAGATCGAGCCGACCGGGTATTGACAAGTCTTTACTTGCTCAAGCAGCTAGACGAGAGATATTCCAGCTATCGAGTCAGTCACTAAGCAGCAAGACTGTCTTGATATTATCCGCTCACACACGGAGAAAATGGAGGCAAACCTGGAGGTCATGGAGCGAAAAAGCGAGTTGCTAGACGATGACCGAGTTTGTGACTGGATCAACAACGGCAGAGATGACACAGAGACAGGGAACAGGAACGAGTTTCTCAATCGACTAATCAAGAGGATGGAGAATTTGCAGAAACAGATGGCGGAAGCGAGGACAGGTTATGCCGGATAGGGCCATAGCGAAAGATGCGCAGGTGCGAGGATGCGGTGTTGTCGTCAAACAAACAGCAGCTCTGCCAGATGTCACGTAAGAACTTCTTGCTTCTGCACTTTCTTGCTGGAAGCCTTGGATGGATGCCACTGAGTGTGCTACTCAAAAGAGCATCCCCACTCGACAGGCTCTGGCAGTGGTGCTGTGTTGGGAATGTTGCCACTCTCCCGGAACTCAACAATCTTCCTTTCTCCGTCCTCCTCTTTGACTACCGCGAATGCTGCGTTCGTGAAGTACAAGTCGCGTTTGACGCGGGTCTGGAAACCACCGGCCCACCCGATCATGTACACGAAGCCACCTTTATCGCCATTTATGTTGGGTACACCGAGAGTGTTGATGAAGCCATGCTTGAAAGGCGCAAAGGCCATACCCAGGGTCGCGTTGAAGATTGTATAGAGTCGCCGTGAGCCATCGAAGTCGTAATGCGTGTCGTTGAAGGTGAACTTGATGTCTTTCGAGAATGATTTCGCATGGCCGTCGGGCCAGTTCGTGTTCGCAGGGTATGGATAGAACCCTATTCCGGTATTAGCATGATGAGGCCTTGAGCATATTGTCTTTTGTACGTACCATTGACAGCGCATTCTAACCAATTGCTAAGCTGAACGCTCGCATTTGCTCTTGGGGAGTCGGCCAACGAGCACGGATCGATTGATTCATTCAAGAATTTGGGCGTGTTCGAGTCTAGTACCTCTTGCGGCGAGATATCGAATGCTGCGATAGATGCGATCAGACCGCATGCGGTGGCTTTAACTATGTCAGTTGTGACGAGAACCGTGATTACAGGCCTCTTACCAAGGAATGGGAGATAGCGCATAATATTATTTGTTACGATCAGAAAGATAGAGGACTGAGGAGTGTCGATCAACGACTAGATCTGTTGTGCGCCATACTTATAAGTAGACGGTGACCTCGTTGCCTGCAGTCAAGGCTGACGAGGCTGACGGGCTGAAAGCGCAATGAGTGTAACGTTAACACAAGACAGGCAAGTGACCGGGGCGATGGCCGGCTCAGAGCTGAGTGGCTCCTCACCTGTTCGCAACATAGCGACCAATGAAACGAGACCGCCTGGTGTCATGTACTTGATGGGGAGGATGTAGGTTGAAGCTATTAATTAGTGCTGTCAGCTACGAAGCTATCGGAAGCTGCCTTCCGCGCCGATGCGCACCGCGTCATTTTCGCGCCATCGCGGCCGGAGCTCCAGGCGTCATCCTATGCAGCGCGTCCAAAGAAAGAGCTCTTCCCAAATAGCCCACCCACTCCTCTTGGCTTCTTGCCCATCTCAACAGTAGCCCTCTTATTGACGACCGCGAAACCACCTGTTCTTATGGCTTTCGCATTCGGATCAGTCTTGAATGCGCCACTTGGGGGCGCAGCGCCTATGGGCGTGGGCGGCGTGTTGGACATCTCAACAGCCTCTCTCTCCGCCCCAGACATCTCGGCGATCTGAGACGTTTGCGGCATCTGCGCAGGCATCCACTCTACCCTAATCGACTCATCACGACTAAGCTTCTGGTCGTCAAACCACAGCTCGAAGCGGATGTCTGCGGGCCCGATCAATACGCGTACCGAGTACTCGATGCGCAGATAGTGCTTCTGCAGCGACCAGAAGTGCTTGTTCTTCTCTTGGAACTTCTTCTCATCCGCTGCAGAGAGGTCTGAATTTATTTCGCAAAGGATGCGCGTGTCTGCGAGCTGTCAGAAAGCTGTTCACGGGTACGAGTGGAGCGGCAGAGCTCTTGTACACATACATTGGTTCATTTGATCTGGCAAGATTGCCGCATCCAAGTCACTCTCGATGACAGTTGTCGGAAACGCCCTTCTTGGATCGCCTGGGTCGACCTTCTTGATGAAGTTGTGTTCGATCGGTTTATCCACGCTTACTGGCGCGCCCTTCTTGACGAACCAAGCTATCGACTGCGTGATGTACAGTTTGTTGTTCAGTGGGTCTCGAACAAGTTCCTTCCCTTGATGCTCGGGGTTCCTCTTGTCATACGCAATCTTGCACACAGTGCCATACGACGCTCGACAACAACGCCATCCGAGGACCGATCGTGATGTCAGGATTTTTCGCATACGATCGCTTACGAGGCCCTTGCACACAGCGAGTTGTGGGTCAGGCGCTATGCTCACGGAGATGGACTCGGCGTTCGGGAAAGAGGTGCGCGCATAGTACTTTCGCAGCTGCGATTGCACATATGCGCTATTGCCTAATCCACCGCTGAGAACGAGATGTGCTACATGCTCTCTCGGAAATTTCTGAAAGAGCGATTGCAGCTGCGTGTCAATGAGCTTGAACAACTTCGCAATCTGCTTATCGAAGAGGCGCTGCAAGTCTTGCCGTTCAAAGGTCATCTCGCCGTTGCGAATTCGAACTTCCGGATCAGAGTTGCTGTACGTTTGCGGCACGCGTGGAATTCCTATACTGAATAACGGTGTGTCGTCTGGGGCGCCGTACTCACACTTTACAGCTTGGAAGTCTCGACTTTTCATCATCTCCCACCCGGCATCCGCAGGGTCGACCGGCAGAGGATTTGTGCTGTGTGCGAGCGTCAACCGGTGCATCACCAGCCTCTCAAACTCGTAATCGATAGCAGCAGAACCGATGGTCTCGCCAAACACGACGTCCATCTGCTGAAGATCGATAGCTTGGTTGACCGTGCCAGTGACTTTCAGCACACTAAGATCGGTTGTCCCACCTCCAGCGTCACAGACTAGTAAGACGTCGTTCTCGCGGAATATGCCCGGTGCTTCGGTGGACACATGTACCGCAGCGGCTTCGGCTTCAGTAAGACCTATCGCCACTTCGTGGTGCGGATGCGTCCCATACCCCGCCTCTTTCACCAGCCGTTTGAAGTTCTCCACTGTTGGCATCGGAGCCCATGTGGTCGGCACGCTGAAGATGAACTCAATTCTAGCCTCTTCCCAGCCGATGCCAGAAAGCTCTCCGCCAAGCTTGAACGACAAGTACTCGTACATCTTTCGCAGATAGTCGCCATACCACTTCTCAACCTCCTGTAGGTTTTCGGGCGCGCCTTCCGGATCTTCCATCTGCTTTCGGCGGAGCTTCTCTGGGTCGAGGCATGTCTTGAACCATTCCTTGTACTCCTTGTCGTCGGCCGCGGTCTCTGCAGCGGTTTCCGAAAGAAAGCCCCATGATGACGGATCTTTGGAACCAATTGGGTATACGACCACCGTGGGGACTTTGTTTTCATTCGCCTGGAATCGTCCAGGCCACTTCTGCACCCAGCGAACAGTTTCGCTGCCTATGGAGAGGTTTACATATGCCACGCCGGTACCTGGAGAGATGTATCAGCCTTGGACTGGTGTGGTAAAAAACACGTGATCCAACACAACGCACTAATCCGAATTGGGACTCGCCTCCCCGCGTGCCATTTCCCAGCCTCGCCAGAACTTACACGTCATTCCAAGGTCGACACCCACGATCATATGCGGTCGCTCGTTTCGCTCCATCTTGTCTCGTTGTCGGTGACGCGGTCTTTGTTGTTGCATTCCCGCCTGATCACGTATCTATAAGATGCAGAGACGATGCAGGTGCCTTGATGTGGCCCCTATGTCTCAGCCTTGCGGCACAGCATCTTCTCGACCGATCACAACACGCGCCATTTCGGCCCCCATGTATCTTGGACCCAAGAATACACACCTTATGCATGCCGAGTGCGCCTTGGGGGCCGCAACGAGGCACATTGTATTTACCGAGAAGCTAGCACATGGTCACTTCTCTCTTCGCCAATAACAGCTCAATTAGGATTGGTGCATGTGGATGCAACACCGGAACGGCTGGTTATCTTACGGAGATCGAAGTAAGCGCCCGAAACCTGTCTATGCTTTGAGCCTTAGGTCGTTACTGTTCATATTCGATTCCTCGCGCTCACAATCCCGCGTTGTACCATTTGGCCTGTCTCCACTGAACGACCACTCCTCAACCCTCAACATCCGTTGAACAATGACAAGTAACGCGGGCCCAGGTGCAGCCGCACCTACTCCTGTCATATCGTCAACTCAAACCCTCAGCGTGCCGGCGACATTGCAAGCCGACGGTGCCGTTGGGAATTTCACCGTTCCAGTCATTGCTGAAGGAGCGACAATTACGAACGTTCTCGTCCTGGTACCCACCGGACAAGGCATTCGTTTTGGCAAAGAATATGGACTATCACTACCGCCTGGCGAGATAAGGTCTGACGGGTTTTTCACCGTCTCATACATGATCAATCCCGCGCAGATCGTTTTCCATTCTGCTTCCCCCACGGCTACTCCAACACCAACGAATGCTGTGCCATCCTCTGGTGCGGCTCCAGCTGCTTCAATCACACCTGATCCACTACAACCATCCCTCTCCACACCTACATCTGGAACAACTTCTTCGACTCCAGCTGCGAAGCCGAATCCTCAACCGCAGACTACCAATGAAGGACTTTCAACAGGCGCAACCGCCGGGATTGCAATCGGGTGTTTTGCCGCAGGTGCCATACTAGCCGGACTCATTCTTTGGTTCTGCCGGCGTAAAAGAGGACGGTCAAGTACCCAATATCCTGCAGAGAATACATACGCATTGGCCTCACAAGAGAAAGGGTTTTCCGCCAATGCCATACCTTTGAGCACAAAACGATCGTCTGTAGCTGCTCTGGGTGGTGGCCTTCCTCAGCCTTTGGAAGACAAAGCCATCTCTGGCGATGTCTCGAAAATAAGTAATGCCATCAAGAATCACGTCCAGAGTTACTACCATACCAGCCGTGTTAACCCTGGTCTCATCGACTATGAGGACCTCCACGCACTTGGATCAGGTCTACCAGTCTCGGTTGGAACGCTCACCACATTGATCGGGAATGCTGCAACTAGAGAGATCGCGCTAAGATTCATCATCGCTTGGGTAATCATCTCGAAACTTCAACCCTCCAAAGATCCTACAAAGAGCCTCTTGCCGTCCGAAATCGCCCAATGCTACCAAGCCGTCGCATCTGGCGATCGTGGCTATCAAGGTATGCAATATAAATCCCTTCTTTGCCGTATATACAGTCACTAATATTCTTGAAGCTCAAACATCATTGATGGCGTGCTGGCGGGTCATGACTGCTGAGTTGATGCAGGCTAGCTACATTCGCAATCCCTTCGGTCCTTCCGACAGTCGACATGCAAGCATACAGGCAACGCTTGTGACACTAGACAATGTTCTACAGCCATACGCGGACTCGCGCATGAACAATGGCGAGCGCAAGCGGAATCTTGAGGAAGTACTGAAGCGGGCTGCACTTTTCGCTTTCACTCTGTTTTCCCAGCCTAGCGCATGGGAGTTCGAGTGGCAGGAGGAACAGGGTGTCACGTCAGGGGACTTGTGCATTTTCCCCGCTCTTGTGCAAGTAGCGGACGAGGCTGGCAATCCAGTCAGTCCGCCGCGGCCTTTCAGCGAGGCTGTGGTAAGACAGCTGGACGCATGAGTCGGTGGCTCATGCAGGGAGACCCTCGCGTACGACTGTGCTCACAGGTAGAACTTGTGCCACTCTCAAGAAGTTTCATGTTGCGAATGCCTCTAAGTTACCCGCTGTCGCAGTGATCGCGAAATTGCTATCGAATGGACCGAAGCTTTAGACCTGTGCTTATATCTTCATCTTCTCGCCAAACAGGAAAAGGCGATACGCTACGACCCTTGCACTTACACTCAAGACGGTCATTCATCGTGTTCGACATGCGAAGGCTTACGTGCAATGGCCAATCGGCTAGATCAACTCCTAGCCTGATCTCGCTTGTGCTTCCCTCTTCCGAACCCGCATCCTGCGCATGGGGGCCAATGTGGAATGTGTTTTGGCCCCCATTGCGGCGTAGTCCATGCAATCAGCATCCTTGCGGCGCAGCCCAATAGCGAGGTTTGGATCAAAAGACCAGTACCTTATAAGTAATTTATACCAAATCCGGCGAGGCGTCCCATGCACATTGGCATGATTATGCTGTGCGGCGTGAGACGACAACGCTCATGACTTTGCGGTACGGTGCCCGCGGCTGAGTTGTTGTTTTGCGCCCCCAACCAACACTTTACCGCTACATCGGTGCCGTGATCGACTGATAGCTATCCCATGTGTAGCTGTTAGCAAATACTTCCATCGGACAGGCCGACACACGAAACTGGAACACCAGCACATCCGCACCGGCTGTGCCTATTTCGAGCAAGTACTGCGTCATTATCTGCGGGGTTTGTCCTGGAGTACCTGGCGCATGTCGCCTGCTACCATTGCTTAGCCCATGCGCGCTACCAGCTACTTCCAGACTCTGTACAGCAATAGTACAATCAGCTTGAAGTAATACGAACGACGCTCATGCCAACTTTGACTTCGATGTTGCCCACTGCTGGCTTATTCCTACCGGAAACACTGCATCGGGCTGACCTCCCCACGTCAGCGCCTACGGAAACCGAAGGAACGAGGCTGAAGTATTTCCAACGCAAGATCGGGCGGCCGAAGCAGGAGCCTAGGAACTCTGAGGACCGGCGGCCATCAAATGCTATTCCGAGGGAAACGCCTGATGACATCTTATGCGACTTTCCAGCGATCCCGACTACCTACTACTTTGCGGACTATGTCCTTACCACCGAGAGGGCTTCTGCGGACACCATCGCTTTCGTGAGCATTATCCAACAAGTGCGACAAGATATCGATGAGGCGACGCGCCTTTTCATCTCATCGGCGGTTTCGAACTTCCTGGATGCTTACCCAAATAAGCGGAGATGGATCGAGACTTCCTTGCTCGAGGTGCGGCGTGCTCTCAATGAAATCGGCATGGATATGGACAAAGCCTGGGGCCACGATGGAGATGGTGGCACAGCTGCATCGAAGCTCAAGCTTGAGTGGGGTCTAAGAAACCAGAAGAAGATTCTGAAAAAGAAGCAGCTGTTAGATCAGTGCCACGCTCAGTTGACAGGTGCTATCTATGTCATGCAAACGGCAGAACTCTGTGGGAAGCCTGGTGCTATCGCAGAAACACCCATTTTCGAGGCTCCGGTACGACCTTGGGTACCTCATGATGAGAAAGACGCGCTACGTGGACCTTATTCGAGGCAGAAATACCGAACGAATCAGGCAAACGTGTCCGCATCAAATATTACACTGGCGTCTGAAGCTGAGAAGGATGACGTCGAAAGTGAGTATCATCCACGATAGACAAAAGTTCAGTCCAACTGACAACCTTTAGCCGGTAGTGTCAATTCGGTGCCTGTAGAGCTGGCCGGTAGTACGCCGGCTGACTTGGACATCGAGGAGAGGCATAATTCACAGAGCTTCCTGAGCCCTCAGGTATCCCGCGAATTCAATACTGAAAGTTCGACACTGTCCAGACGACCACGAGCACGCTCAGACTACTCCCGACAATCCGTCCTTCGGGAACCAAGACCTCGCGCCTCCATCGATGTCGCTCCTTCCTCCTCGAATAATGGCGATGCAACAATCGAGCGCACCGACTCCACTCTGTCCACACAAGCTACGGTCAGCGTGCCCATGGTAGCGAGACGGTATCGAGCAACATCGATAGACATCCAAAGGCATAGCGAAAAGCACAGGTCTTTGCCATCAGAGCTTCCTCATCTCAAGAGTCAGCCGTCACTTATCGATGATTTGGCTGACTATGTGATGCCTAGTGCGGCGAGTGAGAGGCTGCCGAGTAGAGAATGGCCAAACAGTCCAATAATTGCTATTCCATCGATCTCGGTGACGTCGACCCCAACAACCGGTAATACGTTACCTGTAGTCCCCGAGACAACGAATGCGACGATAGACGGTATATCAAACGCGACCAAGACTACTGCAGCTCAGCCATCGCCCCGCCAGCCTCCTACAAGTGGCGAAGGACTTGCGCAACCACCACAACATGAGAAGAGAGATGCGGACACGCCGTATGAGGACGACTTGAGCCTGCGACGAAATAGCTTTGCCTCTGTCGAGCGTACACCGTCGCCTATGTCTCACTATGCAACATCTATACACACTTTGCGATCGCCCAGTGCTCTTGTCAACGTTACCACTTTCACCGACGACGAGCCGGTTCGTCGCCCAAGTAGCCAGCGGCCGTCACAGCGCATGTCGAAAAGGCTGTCGCAAACGTCAAGTAGCAGATCTTTCAACGCGACACCGTCACCCACAATTACCACGGTCGCTGAAACTACAACAACATCTGGTACGGATGAGGAGGAGACTACCCTTCTGGTAACTGCACCGTCTTATCCTCCACCACCGCCGCCCCAGATCATAACCACGGAAACTTCGCAACCCATAGTCGCCAGCCCAACAGAGACGCCGGCGGAGCTAGACGATGACGACGTCGTGCTCTCCGTCCTTCAGCAACGACTTCGTAGCCACAAAATCGTCAAGACAATGGCTGAAGACTTGGTGCGACAGGCTTCCATTACAGAAGCGGCGCAACAGACAACGGATACGCAACAAGCCATACTTTCACCACCCGTATTGCACGAGCAACCAATTCCCACACCGAAACAAGAGTTGCGCGTAGAGGTACCACCCACTACCTCATCGGTCCCAGTTCAGGTAGAGATACCTCCCGTTCCGTCTGTTCCAGTGCAGGCAGAAAGTCTCCCAGCGCCTTCCAACGGAAGTCAGAACGGAGATGCTCCGAAGAAGCCCATGTCAGCGCAGGCTAAGCGAAGGGCTGCGCACGCACGGAGAATGCAACTAGCTTTTGGTGACGATACGACGGCTTGAAAAGGTGGTGTGTGGGATGGAGGTCGGCTAGCTGTATCTATAACATAATGATAATATGTGAACCAATCTTATCTTGTTCTCAAACCACTTCTTCGCATCAGTATATCAAGCCCTCTGAGGTGCGAAGGCGCAACCTATGTTAGCATCATGTTTTCATAGTCACCATTTGACATCACAAATCACACAGCAAGCAAGGAAACCTCGATCAGACAGTAAGACATGGCATTAAATCACATCTACCATCTATTTCCCCGGACCTTCCAGCGTCCTCATCTCAGCCCGTCAGACACATCAACCCACAAGAAAAACTCGCAGTAGGACCTCTGACCGGCCTTTCATATCGCAACCCCAATCATCTCCATGCAACCAAGATGCGACGGACAGGTACCAGAAGGAAGACCCGTTTATGCGGCGTAGGGAGCAGCGGTGACGGTAACGGCACGCTCGGTAACGGTAACGGTATTGATGCGATAGGTTGGCTTAGGCTCGAGATACACTTGGGTTTCGATGCCGGCGAAGGCAACGCCTGCGAAGAGGGCCAGGGTGGCGCCGAGGATGGTTGTGAATTGCATGTTTGCGGTCGGGTTGGGTTGCTGAGAAGGGAGTGTTAGGTGGAGTGATGGAGTGGTGGAAAGGGGAGGTAGTACGTTTTGTTCGTGGAGGCTGGGGACGTGTTAGCTATGTTCTGTTTGAGGTGATGAAGTGGATGTAATAAGAGGAGAGATCGTACTTTGAGTTTTTTTTTTGATCGAAGTCGAAAATGGTAGATTGAGGTCGAAGTGTTTGCGGATGAGAGACTTTAAGGGGGGATATGCCGTGTTTTATACTCTGACCCTGCATTATCCTCAGCCTTTGGGACTGATCTCAAGTATGGTCGTGTGTGGTTTGTTATTTTGGTTGCCATCCACTCCATCCACTGGTACTAACCCTCACGAATGAGAGAAATCGCAAGTATAATATACTGTCCATTGGTACTACGATGGGACGCAATGTAGCCACATAAAATTTCCGCAACACACAACCATCCCATACAAAAAGGTACGCCGCAAATGAGAGAGATCGCAAGCATCAGAGACTCTGCAAAACACAGCAATGTTTGGTTCCGGCCTCAGAGAAGCGGAGAGGGTGATGAGGCAGGGTCCAACCATTGTCAAGCACCTGAAGCTGGTACTCTTCGTCCCATGGCACTATAATGCGACTGTGGGGAAGCCGAAGGCGGAGCGGAGACAGACATGCAAATGAACAAAAGTGCCATACGTGTAGATGATTGATCTCGATGCGCTATCGAACGTGATTGCGTACTCCAATGGTACGCATTGAAGTATTGTCTCCGGTCTAATATAGCAGCTCAAGAATGATCGATCAGAGGTTTCGCCGGTCTCGATTTTCTTCGCTACGTTGCACTCCCAACACTTCTGCATGGGCAATTCGTGGAATTCATATTCGCGCAAGCGGACCTTGGGTCACACTTCGCGTTCGATTTCGCCCCCAGGGTCTCTCTACGACACTACATGTTTCGTTCCAATGCGTTCGGTGGCAGATGATATTGCTTACGTTATCAGTGAACATGCGCAGCATATTTTCACTGTACCAACGACCCGGTCGCTTCCCCACTGTACCTTGAGCAGAAGCATCGGCACACTGCAGCTAGAAACGCTGGCTCGCGTGGTATCGCATCAACGGTGGAGAATCAACACATTGCATGGAGAGGGACGGTGCTGCCACCTTGATCGAGTTCATTGTTACCTTAAGGGGTGCATTGTCGCATTAGCCAGGTGGTTGAGTTTGCCACTAGAGAAAGAGAAGACGTATTGATGATAATAATATGCACGAGGATGTGCGGAGAACGCTATAGCGGAAACAAACCACTCGACCCATGTGGTGGCCCAAAAACAGAGTGAGGCCATCTTCAATTACTTCCGCTAGGATAGCAAGATCTTATATGGAGATTGCGGGCCCAGCTGCCAAGGACGTTGAACTCACCAGATTTCCTTCCTCGTATAATTGCGGATACGTTGTGACGTGGCAGGAGAACATCTGTTGGATTTTGGGGTGTATCTAATCGGAACTGTGTGTCATGAATATATCGCAAATTGCCAATCATTGTATCACGATAGCGATGGTCGAAACCAGATCTGACCTCGGAGGTACCGCCACCAAAATTTATCGGCTGGTCGTCGGTCTCATGAATTGTGAGTACGTTGTGGGTATTGATTACAATTTAGTTCTGGTCAGAGTCGCAAAGTTAGCCAGGTGACAGAAGCTTTGCGACAGAGGTAGGCTTACTGTTCGGCTAAAGAGCCCCTTCCTCCACTTCCAATTCGCCGCCGAAGCGGGCGTGTCCCTTGAGTGAGAGTCTCTGTGACCTCAGTACGGTGAGCGTGCATATTTGCTGTGCCCCATGTTCGATCGCATGCAATGCATCTACATTTCGCTCAAGATTCTACGCGAGAAGGTCCGCAACGTTCATGGGCATTTCGTCGATCTGGGTAGAGTAGTACACTATGAGGATTAGCGGATGTCTGAAAGAAAAAGCTGAATAGTACTTACACTCAATGTCACGGAGGATGCGAACATCATCTTGAGTGACAAAGTTGATGGCTACACCCTTGCGTCCGAATCGTCCACTTCGACCAATCCTGTGGATGTAGTTCTCACGGTTCGATGGTAGATCGTAGTTGATGACGAGCGACACTTGTTGCACGTCAATACCACGCGCCCATACATCGGTCGAGATGAGCACGCGAGAGTTGGCCTGACGGAAGTCGGCCATAATGCTGTCTCGCTCCTTCTGCGGCATCTCTCCGTGCATAGAGGATACAGTGAAGTTGGCGTCGCGCATCTTGTCCGTCAACCAGTCAACCTTGCGGCGCGTGTTGCAGAAGATGACTGCTTGTGTGATGGTGAGTGTGTCGTAGAGATCGCACAGGGTGTCGAATTTCCACTCTTCCTTCTCGATAGCGATGAAGTATTGCTTGAGGCCCTCTAGCGTCAATTCGTCGCGCTTAACCAGAATGCGCACGGGGTCCGTCATGAATTTAGTTGTCATCTCGAGCACATCGTATGGGAGGGTGGCCGAAACGACAACAACTTGGGTGGCAGGTGGGAGGTAGCGGTAGACATCGTAGATTTGCTCGCGGAAACCTCGGTTGAGGAGCTCGTCGGCCTCATCGAGAACGAGCATCTTGATGTTGCGTGTGCGGAGGTTGCGGCGGCGAATCATGTCGGCTACACGTCCTGGGGTTCCAGAGACAACGTGCTGGCCGTAGTCGAGCTTGCGGATATCCTCGCCGACGTTTGTTCCTCCGACGCAAGGATGGCATTGCACGTTCATGTAATCGCCGAGACCCATGATAACCTGCTGGATCTGGGTCGCAAGTTCGCGAGTGGGTGACAGTACGAGTGCTATATCTCATCAGCAAAGTTCTATTTCGCATATCTGTTATGACGTACCCTGTGTCTCGCGCACAGCCGTGTCGATGACCTGGAGGATGGAGATGGAAAAAGTCGCGGTCTTTCCTGTTCCGGACTGCGCCTGAGCGATGGTGTCGCGGCCCTTGCAGATTTGAACGATGGCGCGCGACTGCACAGCTGAGGGCGACTCGTATCCGTAGGCGTAGATACCGCGTAGCAAGTTCTCCTTCAGGTGCATGGCCTCGAAGGTAGGCGCGACCGTGACCTCCTTGGAGGTGGAGAACTCGATCTTGTCGTCGGCATTTCGGTCGATTCCGTCCGCCATCTTGAATGTGAAGCCGGGGTTGGTATGGGTGATTGGTAGTTTTCGAGTCGTCCGCGATGTGCAACAAAGTTTGGAGCAGTTGCGCCTCAGCTTTGCGGAGGGCCGGAGCCTCGGCGCGCTAGCCCCGTTGACTAGCGCGTTCTGCGATTTATGTCGCCGCGACAGGCTCCACCACCAGCTCGACATCGTCACCGCCGCAAAGGTCTGCACATCTACTACCGAACCGCTGCTATACCAAGACTCATAGTTACTCTAGGCGACCGCAAGCATGCTTTTGGAAGATCAGCGCCAACTCCACGAGGACCTCGAGCGCCTCGAGGACGCCGCTGCCGAGCGACTCCTAGAAGACCCCCCGCATGTAGGCATTACCCTCGCGTCCGTCGCGAACTGCGTGCTAACATCTCATCAGATTCGCGATCGCCTCGCACGTGACCACGACATTGCGCGATTCCTGGAGCAGATCGAGAGCCAGTCGAGCCGCCTACTGAGGATCTACCAGGATGAGGACAGCAAGAAGGAGGACGAGGTGCGCGGTCTCACCCACGGCGACCCCATGGAGTCCTTCATGAAGGAGATCGCATCCATCAAGGACTTCCACAGCCGATACCAGAACGAGCCTGTCGAGAACCTGGAGAAGGCCTACAAGAAACGCTCACCCGAAGACCACACGGCGTCCATCGCAGCCATCGACTCCATGTTCACCGGCGAGGAGGGTTTTGGTCGCTTCTTCGACCTGACGACTCTGCACGAGCAGTACCTCAACCTTCCCGTTCAGCAAAACGCGCGCCGTCTGACCTATCTGGAGTACCTCGACAAGTTCGATATCTTTACCCCTCCGCAATGCAACATCCGGCGCGAACAGAAGAAATCAGAGGCCTACTTTCATTACCTGAAAGCTCTACAAGATTACCTCGAGAGCTTCATGCGACGGACAAAGCCGCTAGAGAACCTGGATAAGCTCTTCACCAGCTTCGACAAAGAGTTCGAGGAGGCATGGGAGAAAGACGCAGTTCCAGGCTGGGAGAAAAAGTCCACGGCGTCTGCACCGGTCAACGGTGAGGCGCAGGGTGAGGGCATCTGGTGCTCAGCCTGCAAGAAAGGCTTCTCAAAAGAGACTGTTTACGAAGCACATTTGTCAGGCAAGAAACACAAGAAGGCGCTACAAGAAAGCCAGAACGGCGCGCAGGATGCTGAGAAGCAGGCGAACGGTGCCTCCTCAGACTTGCAACGCTTCAAGGAGCGTGCAGTCGCAGAGCGCGAATTCAGGATACGGAAGCTCGCTGCAGCCATGCAGACGGAGCGCGGCGACACCAAGGTCAACGTCGAGCGGAAGCAGGGTATGACCGAGCGCGAGCGACAACAAGAGCTGGAGCAACTGTACGCCGAGCAACCCGAGAACGGCGGAGAAAAGGAGGACAACGAATCCGACAGCGAAGACAAGATCTACAACCCGCTCAAGCTACCACTCGCTTGGGACGGCAAGCCCATCCCCTTCTGGCTGTACAAGCTCCACGGTCTGGGCGTCGAATTCCCCTGCGAGATTTGCGGAAACTTCGTATACATGGGCAGGCGCGCATTCGACAAGCACTTCAACGAGCCTCGCCACATCCACGGTCTCAAGTGTCTCGGCATTACCAATACCACCCTCTTCCGAGAGATTACAAGCATACAAGAAGCTGAGGAGCTGTGGCGCAAGATCCAGAAGGACCAGAAGAAACAGAAGCTGCTTGCAGAGAACGTTGTCGAGATGGAGGATAACGAGGGTAACGTTATGCCCGAGAAGGTCTACCGGGATTTGGCTGCCGCGGGCATGTTGTGAGTGGTCACATTGCTTCGGCATGTACGCCGTTATTGCCCTAGTCTTTTTCAAATGGGGAATAGGCTTTTGGGTCACCACCTTGTCAAACGAATACTTCGATTCCAGCATCTTCGAGCGATACACGCCAGGCAATGGCGAATTCGGAGGAACCCAGGGTCACTCCAGTAAGTCAAAGAGCGTTGCTTTTGTTCTACCGGTGCCACTACACCAATTTCTTGTTCTTCATCCGAGCATTGTTCTTGTTTTTGGTGTCTGCTTTTCACCTCAAGAAGAGCTAATAAGCCAGAAAACTATGCATGGCTGGCGTTATGGAGTTGCGTCCACAGAAATGCCTCTTCGTTAGGACGAGAGCGCGTATGAGAGACATGTAAAATAAGAGATATTCAGAAATATGGTTCTGTTGGTGACTATGTAGTCTGAATAAAAAAAAACACGTCAATACTGTATCACTCCGCTTGTTTTTGGTGCTTGTACCGACCCAAGCGAACTCATCCTTGGTTGCAATGAAAATGAGCTCCCCATGGCTTCAGCGTCTCGACGCTCCTCGTTCGGAGCTGAAGATCCGTCGACATAGAACTGCAATGACATAGCCAAAGTCGGAGCTGGTCTACCCACTGGCGATTAAGACAGTTGACGATCCTTCATTGCTGGAAATCGCTATCCCGGGCCCGAACATTGTGCCGCTGTCGAAGCACGTCCCGGATCTTTGATGAGTGTTTGGTCGATTCGGGGTTGGCAGGATGGCAGTTTGATGGACCTCATGCCGTAGTAGGATGTAAGGTGTGCTATCGAGACTCGTCCGCAATCCCACCACGCGTCTAGTGGCTCTTGCGGCTGATGCAATTGTACTTGAACCGAGTTGGCCTGATCGACTCTCGTGTCCATATCCATGTCGTTTCCCACTTTTCTTGTGTCGTGTCTTCGTGTCTTTCGAAGTCCAAATCTTCTCAGACGGGCTGAACGTGCGTGTGCGGCCGACAACACTCAGCTATCAACACGCTACTACCGTAGCCGGCAGGAAACAGGACAGAAAGTGCGTGCAGGACATCCTGGATAGAGGGGCGATCCTTGCTAGCGTGTGCTAACATTGGCATGAATAGGTGCGGAAACCTGGTGGTATTGATAGTACGACTTGCATCTTGGGAAAATGCCTCTTTCCAGGAGATTTTGTTCAACGGCTCCATCCAATCTTGTATGCAATCTAGATTTGCCTGGAACGACCACCCTCTCTGCAACCAAGGGCATGAAGTCTCTCGTGAGAATGGGATAAAACAATAGCTCATCTCGAGGAATATGCACCCCAACGAGAATATGTCCTCCGACCGTCCGCAGGGCTGTCGATTCGCTCGTTCTGGAGCCTGGTACTTGGTAGTAGTTATATCACCACCGCTGGTGACGCTACTGCTCTGTTCGGACATGTCGGCAGACCAGCCAAAGTCTGCCAACCAGAGCCCTTGAGATGAGAGAAGTATTTGGGAGGGCTTGAGATCCTTATGTCGAATCTGGTTCTCGTGGATATAGGCAACAGCGTTGGCTATGCAGCTAAAACTACGCCTGATAAGATCGCCACACAGGAATAGCAGTTGCTCGACCTCGCGTCGCAAGGGGAGAGTTGTTCCAGTAACATTGATCAAGCCCCACGTTGTGAGGACAAGAAGTGGCTCCATCGCCGCACGAATGCTTTCCACTATCGCGCTTGCTGGTTGAAGCGGCTTAGTGCCAGCTGTAACGAGATGGTCCAAGTAGCATTGTTTTAAGACGTTAAAGTCATGGAGCAGCGCTGCAAGGTCCGTCCGAGCAACCGGCCAGATCAACATGCCAATCTCAAATCCACCTCTTTGTTTGTGCACATAGGATCCTATCAGCTCCACAACATGCTGATGGCGAGACTTTGACATTCTACCGAGGATCTTGATCTCGTTGAGCTGCTGGGGAGTCATCCGGCGCGTGTAGGTGCGTTTCAAGGCCAGAGGCACGCCATCAATGTGTGTCTCATGAACGACTCCGACACCGCCCCCACCCAGTCTCTGGCCTATAGTGAACGGCAGTGGGTCCTCACGTGCCAGTTCCAACTGAGGTTCGCCGTTGAAGTTGCGGTTCCAAGCTGCGATGGCTGACTGTGGAGTCGAATCTTCCTTCACAACAATAAAGTCATCATCTGCGGTTGACTGATCATCATCAACTGGGTAGGTGCTTCGAGATTTGGCGTGTAGGCTCGCATCTTCTTTGTTGGCGTGATCTCCGGAGTCGTCACTATCTTGTTCTGCTGCTTCCGCTTCTTCTTCTTCTTCGTCGTCGTTACTGGCCTGTGAACCTTCGTCTTTTTCTTGTTCTTCCTCATCGCTTGTCTCATATTCTTCATCACTTGTGTCAAGCCGCTCCCTCCAACCTTCCGCCTCCAATGGCCCAAGTCCGGGCCATTGACGATATGGATCGTCCACCGTACGATACCGCCTGCGAGCGAATGGGGCCAAAAGAGTCCCGGACCATGGTGAGGAGTTCGACGGGTTGCCGTGAGCCATTTCTCGTGGTCGTACAAAAGCGACGACGATGAAAATTGCGCAGGCAATGTATGATAAGAGGAAGCATGGCGTAGATGGACACGTCGTGATGCGCGTCTGCAGGGCGGGGCAGGGGTGCTTCCTTCCTGGTTCAGGCTTACTCCAATAGAAGGGAAGTGGCGTTCCAGCCTTGGGGGCAAGTGCCAACGCAAGAAAAAATGACTGGCGGGCGCATGAGAAACCGACGAATTGTGATGTCTTTACACCATACCACCGACGTTTGAGGCAAACAAGACGCGTTCCGACTGGCGCACACAGTACATAAGCTTCATGAAGTTCGCGTACCTACATCTACAATACAAGCTACTGTTCCAAAAACTCCCACAACCCCTCTCCATTGACAAAATCACCCCAAATAACATTAACAAGCCAATAATCCTGCCTCAACTTTCCAAGCAATGTGCTACTCGCACTCCTCGGCGGGTAAATCCTCTGCCACTCCCTGAAGATACTGAACGCCTCGTCAAGCCAACTCCTAAAACTGACAGCCTCAATGATAGTAGGCGTGACAATCTCTTTACCTGCAAAAGTACCCCAAGTAACAGGGTTCACACCATCTTCTTGACTAGCTTCAAACTCTCCGGCGGCGTTGCCAGCGAAGTAGGTGACTTGCTCATGGGCGTCGAGCTTAGGTTTGAGGGTGGCAAATTCGGAGGCGGGGATGAAGAACTCGACGAACGGCTTTTGGAAGACGTAGCCGTTCTTGGGGCCCCAGCCGAAGACGGAATCGGTGGATTTGACGCCGTTGACGGCGGGTTGAGAGGCGACTGTCCACCAGCCCTTTGCGTTGAGGGCGAGTAGCTGCTTGCTGATGGTCAGTGTCTCGGGAGACAAACTTTGTTCGCTCCAGGGTATGGCCTCAAGGTCTCCTTCGATGTGGCGGCGGAAGAGTTTCGAGATGTCATCCTTCTCGACTGGGTGGCCCCAGAGCTTGAGAGCTTGCGGTGTTGAGACGTGGAGGGTTGGACCGTAACCATCAATCTCACCAAAGGCAGGCGAACGTGCATCCCCCCAACGGCCGTTAGGGAAGTCATCCCAAGTTGCTTCACGGCCCAGCGAGCCTTCGCCCTCTGATATTGCCAGTGTGTTCGCCCGAGTGTTGATCGGGCCCCTTGGTACACCAGCTTCCTCCTCCGTAGCTTCGTACGAGTGATTGCTTGACTTGGCCGCGGATGGGTGTGATATTATCACTCTGTTGTGCGGGCCGGAATTGACAGCAGATGATCGTCGCCTGCGCGGCATTATGCCGTTTGGTGGCGGCTCAAGGTTGATGGCGGGCGTGGTCTCGACAATGACATCGTCGTCGTCTTCGATAGTCGATGGTATGAGGTGAGTGTCTTCAACGATGTGCGACACGGCTTTCTCCAGATTCAGCGTGTAAAAATGGAATCCTCTCCTGCAAGTATCCGGCCGAGCCTTGATGTGTTCCACCATTTCGTCCATAATCTTGACGCCAACTTGCTTCACCATTTCATCGTCGCTCTTTACCGCGTCCAGTCGCTTCAGCATATCCGACGGCAGCTTCGCATGCGATAGTTTCGTTGTCCTGAGCAAAATCTTGTACGATTGTATTGGCATCAGCCCAGGTATGATCGGTATCGTCTTAAACACTCCGCTCTCGTGCTCCCTCAGCATCTTCTCGAACTTGTCGTACGCCTCAACATCGTAGAAAAGCTGGGTCATGATGAAATCTGCGCCAGCCTTGGTCTTCTCAATCAGGTATGGCAGGTCGTGCAGCGGATCTTGATCCTTGGGATGACTCTGATCCGAGTGGCCTTCTGGATACGCAGCGACACCAATGCAGAAATAGTCTCCGTACTCTTTCCGGATGTATTTGACCAGATCAATTGCCCAAGTGAAGTCCTTGTTCGAGTCTTGTTCCGGCGGCGTCCCTTCGTCCCTGTACTCGTCGCTGCGCGGCGCGTCACCCCTCAGCGCCAGGATGTTCCGTATGCCCAGCACCTTTGCCTGTTCGAGCGCGTCGTCGATGAGCTGGCGGTTCATATTCGTGCACGTGAGATGTAGACATGTTGTGAGGCCTAATTGGCGCTGGCATATCTCTGCGAGTTCGAGCGACTTGGTGGCTGTGGATCCGCCGGCACCCCAGGTAACGGTGACGAAGAGAGGTCGAAGAGCCTGCGACATGCGCTCTAAACGTGTTTGGAGGTTCGCGAATCCCTAGAGAATCATTAGCGACCGATTCCTCTTTCATGGTGTTCTTCCCCAATCCATACTGCGGCCCTCCACATTCGTCGCGTGCGAGCGGGGCAAACTCACCATGGCCGTCTTGGGCGGGAAGAACTCGAGCGAGAAGTAGTTGGCGCCATCGGGCAGCGCGTTGATCTTATCCGTAATCCGCTCCATCGTGAAGGCGCGACTGAGGGTAGAGGGAAAGGTGGTGTGGCGGACGACGTTGTGTCATGGCTGCAAGTGATGGAAACAAAAAGTTGACCCGCCGCTCATCTAGAAGGCGCGGGTGGGGCACGCGATCGACGGTCAGGATCATTATCCTTTATCGGCGCATGCGTGCCACACTGGGCATTAGGAAGCACCGACACGACTATCCGACAATGGAGTCACTGTCAGTGAAAGCTACATGGTGTTGAACGTAGAATGGGCAATAGCTGCAGTTACACTGTTGCCCACGTTGACCAGGCATTCAGATGGAAAGTGTCGTGCAAGAACAGCAGCCTTCATTCCGCGTAGTTCAGTCGCTCAGTCATCTTCTGCGCGCGATACTATCATATATCCCAGAAGCTTCACACTAATTTACAATCCATCAATGGACGAGGCGCACGACGATCAACATGCCCTCACCCTGTACGTACAACTGTCGGGGCGGGGTCCCGGATGCCAACCCATCACTTGATGCAGGTGCAGCAACTTGCATTGCATAAGTAGTCATTACATTCGTTGCTTCTGACAAGAGCAACGAGTCGAGCCGAACTCAATCTCACCGCATGTTTGTGCTCAATTTCATCTTTACAGGATTGAATCTCAGAAAGGTACCACCACAATGCTCCCATCCATCCCCAGCCTAATCATCCTCTTAGCACACACAACCGCAACCATAGCCAACATGACACACCCCCTCCCCCAAAGAATAGACGTCCACTCACACTTCCTCCCACCCTTCTACCGCACCGCCCTCGCCGAAAACGGGCACACACATCCCGACGGCATGCCCGCGATCCCTTCCTGGTCTCCGCCCCAACACCTCGAAATGATGAAAACAGCCAACGTCTCCAAATCCATACTCTCCATCTCCAGCCCGGGGACAAATATCAACCTGCACGATCCGGAATTAGCAATCGATCTAACACGGCAATGCAACGCCTACGCTTCGTCTTTGAAGCAGCAACATCCAGAAAAGTTTGGTGTTTGGGCTGCACTGCCGTTACCGGATGTTGAAGCGAGTTTGAAAGAGATAGAGAAGTGTGTTGAGGAAGGAGTCGAGGGCTTTGGCTTACTAACGAATTACCATGGGATTTATGTGGGAGATGAAGCAATGGACGCAGTCTTCGATAAACTGAACGAAATCAGCGCGACGGTATTCATTCATCCAACGAAACCGTGTATTAGGAACGTCGGTGGCAACAGTTCTAGCGACGACTCGCCTCAGACGACAGACGCTCTTCCATTTGGCGAGCAGTACCCCGTCCCGATATTCGAGTTCTTCTTCGATACTGCAAGGGCGGTTATCAATCTCTTCAGCACAGGGACGGTGGACCGGTGTCCGAACATCAAGTTCATCATCCCGCATTCTGGCGGTGCGTTACCGCCGCTTATGACACGGTTCATCCAGTTCTCCAGCGTGGTGCCGGGCGGGAGGGTCTTGAATGCTTCGACGGTGCGGAAGCAGCTCGATACGCAATTTTATTTTGATCTCGCGGGATTTGTGTTTGATGGAGAGAGCGGGGGGCAGGGGCAGTTGAAGGCGTTTGTTGAAGGGTTTGAGATTTCGTATGAGAGGTTGCTGTATGGGAGTGATTTTCCTTTTACGAAGACGCAGTTTGTGAAGGCGTTTGCGGAAAGGATGAAAGATGGGTTGGAGAGCTTGTTTGGAGAGAAGGAGAGAGATGCGATCTATCAGGGTAATGCAGTTAAGTTGTTAGACAACGGGAAAAACAAGATATGAAAAGGTGGTAAAGATGTGTATATGAATGATCTATAGGATGTGCCGCAGTGTCTCTCTATATGTACTTGTACGGGTTCATGATGCCGTTCTGTCGGAGTTAGCACATGATGGAAACAAATCAACCTGGAGTAGTCACTTACAGGGTCGTATAGATCCTTGATCTGCTTCATCAACTTGATCATGGTCTCACTCTTACTGTATCCAATATATGGCTTCTTCGTTACTCCCAAGCCGTGCTCGGCACTGATGCTGCCATTACGCTTTTGTACCCACTCGTAAACGAATGGCTCGAGCTTCTTCTCTACAGCCTTGTCAAATTTCCTGACTGGGATGTTGAGGTGCAAGTTGGCATCGCCCATATGGCCGTATCCAACGACGTCAACCACGGGGTGCGACGAGTCGTTGCCAAGCAGGCCAGCCTCTGTCAAGCGATCGCGTGTCTCGTTGACCAAATCATAGAGCTCAGCGATGGGTATCGACAAGTCATACTTGTAGACACCTCCGTCATGGCCAAGGCACTCGGTGATGCCTTCGCGCCATGACCAGAGCTCCTGAATCTGAGTTTGGTTTTCGGCGAGAACACCATCGGATACAACTTCGGTCTCCATTACGTGTTCAAGGAATGCTTGCAGTTTCTAAACAGGTCAGCGACCGGTATCATTAGTGCCATGAGCTTGCTTACCTCGCCGTCATGTTCGGCGTTAGACCCGCTGGTCTCAATCAGGCAGTAAAAAGGATGCTCGCCCTCTAGAGGCATCTTCTTACCGGTGACCCTGTTGACCAGCTTTTGTGTGCGACCGTCCATCAGCTCGAAGGCTGATAGGATCTCAGATAGGTGCCCTTTCGCCTCGATGTACGCTTTCTGGACCTGCTCGTAACTTTCCAATCCGAAGTACGCGACGTTGACGGCGGGTGACCTTCTCGGGCAGATAATTGAGACCTTGGTGATGATGCCGATAGTGCCTTCTCCGCCGATGAACAATTGCTTCAGGTCGTAACCAGTGTTGTTTTTCCGGAGCGTCGAGAGATCATCTACAATAGTACCATCCGGAAGGACTGCCTCAATGCCTAGGACGTTTCCGTGAAAGCTGCCATACCGAAGGAGACGGAGACCACCGGCATTTGTCGCAACATTGCCACCAATGTAGGCAGAGCCTTTGGCACCAAGATCTAATGGGAAGATGTGGTTCTTCTCGGCGAGGAAGTTGTCGGCATTCTCTAAGATCACGCCAGCATCAGCGACAAGGATACCAGATACTTCATCGAAGGACCTGATTTCGTTCATCCTCTGCATGTTGATCACAATCTCGTCAAACACAGGCACGGAGCCACCAACAAGTCCAGTGTTACCGCCCTGGGGTACTACCGCGAGCATGTTGTCATTGCAGTATTTCAGGATCTTGCTGACTTCTTCCGTGGAATTGGGCTTCAAGACTAGTTTGGTATGGCCACGGAACTTGCGCATCCAGTCGCTGTTGAAGGCCTCAATATCATCCGATGCATCTTTCGACACACCATCTATGATGGCCGAATCGGAACCCAGAAGCTCTCGAAAATATTTTACATGCTCCTCGCTGACTTTGGCGAATTTGGAGTCTCTTTGAAGATGCGGGTATCTACGTAGCGTTAGCAGATCCCCCAAATGATCCAAACCTCAGCACATACGACTCGGAAGTGAACTTGATGGATTTTGACGACGCGGTCGGGCCTTTCACTCCGCCATTCTCGTCTGGCTGATGAGGCTCCGAAGTCGCTGACGTACTACCCGTCCATCGCACTTGACTTGTTGGTCGCAAATATTGAAAGCGCGATGCAGCGCGAGAAGAGAGTGCACTTCGTCGCAGTGACGAGACCAAGCGCGCTGAAGATGCCATCCCGATTGACCGGAGAAGAAATGCGACGGGCGGCGGAAATAATCAAGTCGCCTTCACGAATATCTACCATGATGACCTAATTCGACAGGGTAGGCACGGGCCAGATGGCTTGGCGTAGTTTAGGCGGGAGCAGCGACGCGGACAGCTCTGGAGCTCCGCGAGCAACTTGACGACAGCCGTACCTCTTTGCCCAGCCGCTTTTTCTTAGCTATCGTCGCCGTATACAAATAAACAACGAGAAGCCTACAGATTACCATACATCCACTTTCACAATGGCGTCCGGCTACGATCGAGCTCTCTCCGGTACACACAACCAACACCTGGAGATGCGGGCTTAGCTAACTCCGCCAGTCTTCAGTCCTGACGGTCACGTCTTCCAGGTCGAATATGCGCTCGAAGCAGTAAAGCGAGGTGCGTAGTCTATGAAGGAGAAGGCGAGCTTCAGATGCTTATTCGCCCCAGGAACATGCGCTGTTGGTGTCAAGGGCTCGGACATAGTAGTACTCGGCTGCGAGAAGCGATCCGCAATGAAGCTGCAAGATACCCGCATCACACCCTCCAAGATCTGCCTCGTCGACACCCACGTTGCCCTCGCCTTCGCTGGACTGAACGCCGACGCCCGCATCCTTGTCGACAAGGCCCGCCTTGAAGCACAATCACATCGCCTCACAGTCGAAGACCCGGTATCGATAGAGTACATCACCAAGTACGTTGCTGGTGTGCAGCAGAGGTACACCCAGAGTGGTGGTGTCCGACCGTTTGGCATCAGCACACTGATAGTCGGCTTCGACCCCAACGACAAGACCCCGCGCTTGTACCAGACCGAGCCTTCTGGTATCTACTCAGCATGGTAGGCTGCATACACGGAGTTACACTTCTCTGTGCTAATATTACCCAGGAAAGCAAATGCGATTGGCCGATCGAGCAAGACAGTCCGCGAGTTCCTCGAACGTAACCACAAGGAAGGGATGGACCGGGAAGAGACAATCAAGTTGACAGTCAAGTCACTGTTGGAGGTAGTGCAGACGGGCGCGAAGAACATTGAGATTGCCATCATGGCACCCGGAAAGCCCATCGAGATGTTGCCCGTTGAGGACATTGAGAAGTACGTGGAGAACATCAACACAGAGAAGCAGGAAGAGGCGGCGAACAGGAGGCCTGGACGGCAGCCCGGTACAGGCCAGGCCGCTATTCTCACCCGCCAGACCCCAGCTGAGGGCTCAGGATCTGGTGGCGCATAGAGGCATGGTTAACGACTGACGGCGAAACGGCATGAACAGCAGTGGCGTCGGGTGATAGACTTTATGATTCTGTATAATGCAGATACGACCAGCTAGTGCTCATAAATGGCAATCTAGCACACCATGAAGTGTCTTTCCACGTCCAAACCCTCGCTCGTCGCGTGATGTTCTTGGGTGAGGGCCCCCGCCCTATGGTTTGTAGCTTGTGCTACGCATAGTATAGTATGTCGCGGTATCCCACTGGCTCAGCCCAACTTGTCTGGTGCTTCCTTGACATCGAATATGGTGCGCATCTCTTCACCGCGTACGCGTTCATCCTTGAGCATCCTGCACGATTGTTAGCAATAACCCGTCACTAACCAGGGGGGCGACATGCCTGGCGTCCTTTCGCACATCCTCGCCCTCGACTTGCAGCGACGCCTTGGGAGTTTTGGCCTCTAGAACGAAATGGTTGTCGCAATGCGGGCAGTACTCGTCGCTACCACTCATTAGCCAGCGCCACATGAAAAATATACCTTCTGTTCTTACGCGTCCTCAAATTCGCGCGCATCTTTGCGGAAGGCCTTCTTGCATTTTTTGCATATGAAGACCATATCAAACGTCTGCATGAGCGGGTGGTCGCTCTTCTCCTGGTGACATTCGGCGCAGTCGAACCATTTCTTGCCTATACCTTCTCAGCATTCATCGCATACATCTCAGCACGGTCGACGTACAGCATGGCGAGCGGATGGAGACCTGGGCGTTGAGGATGTGTTTGCTACATGGGCATCAGCCAGCCGCGGAGGTCATGGCGGGGGAGTCTCGGAGGCGACAAGAAACGCGTGCTTACCACATGGCTGGTGTCGGTGAAGGGAGACTACGGCGCTATGGGAGTACAGACTGACGGCTGCAGGCTGGCTAGTTTGGCGTTTTGTCTGCTCGTCTATAATTCGCCGGTGCCTGATCGCCTTGCCGTTGGTGGTGTGCAGGGTTCCGTGCTGCTGCGCTGTGGGGAATGACAGTAGACAGACACGACAACACCGCTCCAAGCCGCCCGCGCCCAGCGCAGCCCTGGAGAGCCTCTACATCGCCTGCAAACCGGAACGTCACCTGACCGTACACGCACACGGGGAGCAGTCGCGATAGCCGTTGCGTTCCGACAGTTGCGAAACACCTGCACCCCCGCGCTGTCGCCGGTCTTCCCTGTCGCCGAACATTCTTAGCAGGCAGTATACGCGTCTCCACTAGGGAGCCCTACAGTCACTCGGGCCTCTACCACATCGCACCGCCACCGTATCCACTACCACAAACACTACTGCACAAGCTATTTCTGGATCCTGCCTCCGTAGCGCTGGCTGCATGACGGCCCGCGAGCGACAGCCTCCCCTTCCACCCTCACAAGAAGCGCCAAATGGGAAGAAGACCTCACTGGTCGATGCGCAGCTATAGGATACCTCCCGGTGCCGGCTGACGACAACACAATCATCATGGACAACCAGCAGGAGGAGAACATGGACGACTCGTCCATTGTGAGTAGCTCCTTCCCAGCCAGAAGATGTTGCTGACTCCCAGCCCAGAAGCCAGTGTCTTCCCTCCGCGCCCAGTTCGAGAACCTCCTCAGTACAAACAAACCCGCCGCGCCTGCCACTCCGCGACAACGCTCTCCCGGCCCCAATGACCGCCTTGCTATGCCCGAGGACAACAGGAGGACGGATGGGCGCATATCCTTGGACATGCCCAGGGACTATGCTGAGAGACCCTCGCCCAGTGTGACCGACTACAGTGGGAGCGGGACAGTGACGCCGCGCTCGAACACCCTAGGACGGTCGCTCTGGGGCAATACAAAGCAGAGACCAACGTCGATGATGGCCTTTTCTCCGCCCAGGTCACCAACAAGATCTCCACC